AAAAAAAAAAAAAAAAAAAAAAAAAATTTGCACCAGGCTGGAAACGATCAACTGTGATTAGCAACAGGAGATTATCATCAAAAGAGGAAAAAGGAACATCCCTTTATCCCTTTACCTTTCTGGTCCTGTGTAAGTTCTGTGGTCCAGCCTGGCCTTGGCCTCTTGGATGCTGGGATTCTGAACAGGCAGCACCATGCTCAGCCCCCTGAGTGCACACAGATAACACCTAATCCTGTTACTCACAGTTCTCTGCAAGACTCTGGATGCAGAGATGTATGGAGCACACGGCTGTCACCGCTGCCAGGACAGGAAGGGGTTAAAACTGCTCCTACTGCTGATGAACATCGGGGGTTTGGCTTGTGTGATGTTTTTTATTGAAGTTGGGTTCCATTTTGACCTCATCGATGAGGTTGGTATCTCCTAGTTCAGGACTGAAATGACAGCCACGCTTCTTGCTTTCCAGCCCTCTGCAGATGTGTCTCAGGTCTCCTTTGCCCTGCCTTCATTCCTCTGGTAGTGTAATTCAAGATGTTGGCCGTCTCTCAGACACAGGTGTTAGGAAGGGGATGTCAGGGTAGTTACAGCTGTGGTCCAGCAAGTCCAACAATGGCCGTCTCGTGATGGAAGGTCCAAGAATCCAGTGGTTGTTCATTCCGAGAGGCTGGATGTCTCAGCTGGTCTTTAGTGTGTGTGTGTGTGTGTGTGTGTGTGTGTGTGTGTGTGTGTGTGTGTGTGAATCCCAAAGAAGTAGGCTCTAATGCCAGTGAAGGACCACCTCAACAGCTGGATACATGAACGTATCAGTGAGAGCGAGGGCAAGCAGGCCCAAAGCAAAGGTTTCTTTCTTCTCTGTCCTTTACATAGGCTGCCATGAAAAGGTGAGGCCAGATTTAGGGTGGGACTTCCCGCTTCATATGATCCAAGTAACCAAAAATCCCTCACAGGGTCTGTCGGTCCAGCTGTTAGGTTTTTTTTTTTTGTTTGTTTGTTTGTTTGTTTGTTTTAAGATTTATTTATTATGTATACAGTGTTCTGCCTTCGGGCCAGAAGAGGGCACCAGATCTCATTACAGATGGCTGTGAGCCACCATGTGGTTGCTGGGAATTGAACTCAGGACCTCTGGAAGAACAAGCAGTGCTCTTAACCACTGAGCCATCTCTCCAGCCCCCTGTTTTTGTTTTTTTGAGACAGGATTTCTGTGTAGCTGTGGCTGTCCTGGAACTCACTCTGTAGACCAGGCTGGCCTGGAACTCAAGAGATGTACCTGCCTTTTGCTCCCAAGTGCTAAGATTAAAGGTGTGCACCACCACTGCCTAGCTTAAAAGTAATTTTTAAAAAAATATCGAAGCACTGAATAAAGTTCAAAATCATCTCACTATTTCAAACTTTTCTCAGTTCTCAAAAACAGAAAGGTTGTAACATGCTTACCTAGAAGGGCAGAGCCGCCATGATAAAGGCCGATTTTCCAGGGTAACGTGCACCCATTTACTCCAGGTGTGCTGACCCCTGAAATATCTCCACACTCCGGAAACTCAATTTTGTAATTTGTGGTAGTAGGGGAGTATGTTCCCAGCTTCTCCTGAAAAGAAATTGTAGCATCTGTCAATTCATTTGATTAAAAAGCATTAGGCAGGGCTGGGCATGGTAGCACATACCTTTAATCCAGTACCGGGGCAGTGGCAGGCACATATGAATTTTGATGCCAGCCTGGCCTTCATAGCAAGTTCTAGGATAGCCTGGGCTACATAGTGAGGCCCTGAGTTTGATCAATGACACTGCAGAAAGAAAGTCACCATCCCCCACCCCACCAGGTAAAAAGCTGAAGGAGCCAAAGGTCATCCTAGTGTGGTGGCTTTTACCTGTCAATGCCAGCACTGGGGAAACTGAGGCAGGAGGATCAGCATGAGTTGGAGGGCCACCTGGGCTACAGTGTAAGACTTGAGGGGGCAGGGGAGAGGGAGAGAGGAAAGAAAGGTCACAGGGCAAATGCTGCTGCTGCTGCTGTTCCCAGAGTTGAAGAAAGAGACAGGCAGATGCAGAGAGCTCCCAAATGCAAACACTTTGGGGGAACCAGGGCTGGGCTAGGAAAAACCTAACTCTGTTTAGGACAAGGTGGTCTCCTGTGGCCCAGGCTGGCCTTGAACTCCAGGTACAGCTGAGGATGACCTTGCACTCCTGGCCCTCCTTGCCCAGGGCAGGGGTTCTAGGTGTGCACCAGCCCTCCCCTTCCCCAGGGCAGGGGTTCTAGGTGTGCACCAGCCCTAGGTGTGCACCAGCCCCCCC